GGTGTATCTTTCAACAAACAGTCAACTTTTCTTTATCTTTTTATGATCTTGCCAGGTGCAAATGTTTCTAATTTGATATTTTGTATCTGTTTTTTTATTGGTGAATTTTTTGTTCTTTTTGCCAGGTCTCCCTTGAAATAGATATCTCAATCGTTCTTGGTTAAGAATAAAGATTTTACTGGAAAGAAATAAAAGAATGGCATGAGGTGTCACTGAAACGTTTTATTATAATTATTTACAATGTAAAGTCTAGGATAAAACCGTATCTCAATTATTTAAATATCCGCCATCTTTACAATACAAAGCTTCCCTAATGTGGCAACAGTGTAGTTTATGCCTTCTTCAGTCATCCAATAGCTCAGCAGTCCAGTCTCTGCAAGCACAGCATTGAGAGACTATGTTAACTGGGAGTTGTAGCTAAGCAGTCTGCCGTCAGAATGAGCTGCTGTGGCTTCACAGCAGTTTTTCCTCGAGGTCTGCAGAGACAAAGTAGGGAAAGCAAGACTTCAATCTTCTCCACTGTATGAAGTGGAATCAGTACCAAAACAAATTCAAGTACAGGTGGATTTATAGTTTAAAGGAAATTATTAATTACTTTTAAATGCTATTGCTTTAATTGGAAGATATTTTGATTTTTTTTTTACAAACTTGCAAACATCAAAGACTGTTAAGCAGACATTTATGACATTTTTTCACCTTAAGTTAAACTAAGACAAAATACTTTAAAGGAGAAAACTGTGGATCAGTGGAGTGCTATGCTCCAAACATTGTTAAAGAGCGTATCTAGATTAGCCTGACTTAATCAGCTCAATAATAAGAGAAGACCAAACATTTAATATCAAGTTACCTTATTTGTGTGACAATCTCTGCACTGGTGCTGATCTGATCCACTATTCAGCACACCTGCTCTACTCCCAGTTTTAATCAACTCTGTACCTTTCCACACAGGGGCGGATTTACCATTAGGCAAAACTAGGCAGTTGGCTAGTGTCATGATGTGGTTGGTTTTCTAGCCCAAATGCAGAACTCAACAGAACATACAGGCAGGATTTAAGTCCAATATTTATTGGCCAACACAGGTCTCCCTCCTGGGAGGCAGAGAAGACAGAGCAGGTCAGGTTCAGGTTTACAGATTAACAGGTTTCAGACTTACAGGTTAACAGGTTCTAGACAGGCAGGGTGGCTCAGGTTTGCTTCCATGGCAAGGACAACAATCCGGCTCAGAGTGAAACTATCACTCAGCTTATATAGGGAGAGCTTAATCATGAGCTGATGGGAATCAGCTGAGCGCTGAGCAGCAGCTCCCAGAGAAGGATCCACATCGCCCTCTGGAGGGCAAAACCCCTGGATCCCAACAGAAACAGAAGCCCACAAGAAGGGATCCACACCGCCCTCTGGAGGGCAAACCTCTGGATCCCAACAGCTAGGGCCCCGAGTTCCTGAGGGGCCCCCTAAAACTCCTTTTACATGTATGGTTAATACAGCTATTACTTATTTGTGCACATTAATTATGTTTTTGATAAATATATATATATATATATATATATATATATATATATATATATATATATATATATATATATATATATATATATATTAGTGCTGTCAAAATTATCGCGTTATTATCGCGTTAACGCGAGGCCATTTTAACGGCGATAATTTTTTTAACGTGAGATTAACGCTATGTGGTTTTATGGTACAATTTTCCAAGTATATCCCGCTGCAGCCTGCGGAAAGGCGGGGCTATTTTCCCCCAGTGTATGCATTTCTCATAGGCTTCGAGAGCGGAGAGCTCCTCAAGGGAAAAAGACGCTCATACACTGGGTGACGCTAGTGCCTTTTCTTTAAGCCCCACCACCAACAAACAAGTTGAGTGTCTGGTAACTAGTAGCAACCTGAAATACACTGAGAAAACAGATTACTGAGGTGAAATGGAATCTGCTACGGCACTATTGCTGTCTGTGTACGCCACAGGTCGGTATCGCGTGTGTGTGTGTGTGTGTGTGTGTGTGTGTGGGTGGGTGGGTGTGTGTTCTCATTTTTGTAAAGAGGCTGAAAAGTAACTTTCTAGTGCATAGACTACCTCCATCTAGTGATGTCGGTCTATTGATTTTGATGTATTGATTGAAAATTGTTCATTATTATCTTGGTTAATTAACATCTAATGTTAACTGTACTACATTTTATAGCAGTAGGGTAAAATGCTTGTCTTTGTTCAAAATACTGTATTAACTGTCAAGACTGTCTTTTACATCAGCCTGTTTTCAGGGCCTTTTTTTGGCTACATATTTGTTATTTTTTGCTACATGCCTCCCCATCTTCTTGCCATATGTTTCTATGGCATAAATCAGTGTCTGTGACCTGTTTTCATTTTAAAAAAAGAACATTGGCACAAACCTAGCCTGTATGTATTTTTTGTATGTCATCGAGAGTATTTAAATGATTTTCAATCAGAAAAAAAATTTGCGATTAAAATGCGATTAATCGCGAGTTAACTCAGGCATTGATGCGATTAATCGCGATTAAAAAAATTTAATCGATTGACAGCACTTATATATATATATATATATATTTGGGCAGAAACTGAACATATGCTGAAAGCTGATGGGGATTTTTTTAATATGTCATATTAAATTAAGCGCTCACAGGGTTCATACAGGAATGAGTGACTCTAATTTAATGCTATTTTAATGCTATTAGAAATTATTTTAATGCCATCAACAAGTATCATGTACACAAGTTATTAGTTCACATGAAATATGAAGGAGCTGTAAGCACAGTTCCATGACTCTGGTATGTATGTAAACAAACACACACACACGTATATATATATATATTCTCTAGCTTTTTCTCCTTTGAGAATCATAAATGCCAAGATAAACATATTTAATTAATTTTAGTGCCAATTAAGGCCTTGATTTAAAAAAATTATGATTTGTAATTATTTTTAATGATCCGCAGAAACCCTGGTTCATCTTGTGCATGCCCTCTACGATCTCCAAGGAACTCAGAGCGGACGGGAGCCACAGCGGCGGCTGTAGGCTTTGCTTTGCGAAGGCGGTCTGGAGCGCAGCGTGGCGGAGCGTAGCGGAGGGTGTGTGTTATTGTATACAGCTGGGGATGTTAGGTGTCACATTAATTATAGATTAAATAATTTACTGTTCTGTAGTTTAAGCAATTGTCATATTTGTAACAACACTAGTCTTTCCTGTGACATGCACCTTTTATTTATTTATATATACACATATGTATATATATATATATATATATATATATATATATATATATATATATATATATATATATATATACATATGTGTATATATAAATAAAAGATATATATATACAAATTTCTATTCTATTAAAATTTCTGTATCTGTATAATGGGTCTGTTCTATATGTTGTCTTCTCAATTCAGAGGGCCCCATGCCTGTCTTTGCCTAGGGCCCCAAATTTCCTAAATCCACCCCTGTTTCCACATATAGTTCACCAATGATGAAGACGACGAACACATTTTTTTCCACCACACGTCTCCTCGGATGATCAAAGAAAATTACTCCTCTGCCTTGGCGTAGTAATATAACCAACCAGAGGGTGTCGCAATTCAGTATTATCAGCCTTAGAGTTATCAATGCTGTTTTAAGGTCTGGGCCTGGCAATGAATTAAAACTTTGGGGGTTTTTTTGTTTTGGAACGTTGGCGAGGCGGTAGCGTGAGTTTGGCGAGGCGGCCGCCTCGCCAAGATAGTGCTGCAGGAAACACTGCAATCCTAACATTACATTATCACACTCTCAGTCACTATGACTTACCCTTCATGTGACTCGAGAGCGCAGACTCGCCCATTGTGAAAAGCTGCACATCTTATTTTGCAGACTTTACAAGAGGCAACTCGTGGGGTTTGTCCCAGTTTAATCCATAATTTGTATTTTTCATCTTCCAGCCAACGTTCATTGAAACGACAGCCTCCCGGCACGGTGCAGTAGTGGTTTCATGTGGGCGGAGTCACACATGGAAATAGACTGGCAGATCGCAGTCACACATAAGCGAGCAGGTTTCATTTTCGGGCTCTCCAACATTTTATTTCTCCATTGAATAAACACACGATTCAGTTAGATAGGTATTTGTTGCGAAAGAATTTTCAAGCATTTCATCCAAAATATAAGCACTTTTCAGACCTTGAAAACACAATGTCAAAATTCAAGCATTTTCAAGGATTTCCAGCACCCGTACGAACCCTGAGCCTGAGCCGCTCCCTGCTGTCCGACTGGAGGATGGAGCACCTGTTTCAGCTCTTCTATTACAATGGCCAGAACTGCCAGAGGTCCACGGCACGACTAACCGTTGGTAAACACCACCCTTAACTTGGATTCAGATAATTTAATCACTTTCAGCTGAAAAAAAAAATATATATAAATATACTTTGGATCTCCTGCAGATACTCACTCCCACCACTGGGAGGCGATGTCTAATGAGTCAGATCCAGAAAAAAGGTTCCCGTCCCTGGAAATGACCATCAGGACAAAGTGGGACGGAGCCGCCATTAACTGGAACGGGACTGACCCATTCTTCTGAGCAGATGAGTTATAGCTGCCCCTGCTGGCGCTATCCTGACCTGCATGTATTAATCAACTCAACATGAGGATGAGAGAAATGAAAAGCTCTGAAAATCTGAAGCATCTGGGGAGAAATCTTAATTGGAAACAATAAAAAAAAAGTTTAAGAATAAACATTTTTAACTCTTGTCATGATGCTTTACTCTGAAAAAATGTATTTCTCTTTTTGTTCTGAATGAAACAAATGTCTTTCATCTCCATGGCAACTGCTTGCAATCAACTGGATGTTTTCAGCATTGCTATAAAAAAATAAACATTTTACTGAGAAATAAAAAACACAACAACCTTGTTTATCTTTAAATACACATTAAGTCAGAAGAGTTCTCAGTCAAGCTTATTGATCTGCCGGCACATTTCGAGGTTCTGCGTGTGAAAGAACGAAGGAGCCAGAAACTTGCTGATGAAGATCCTCCTTCACTGCTTCAATTAAAGGAAACAATCTAAGGGCCCAAAAGGTTTTAGGCATTTAGGCCTTTTAACCTCTACGTCTAGAACCTGAGGGGCCAAAAGGTGTTTAGGAGGGGCCCAAAGACCATTAGGGGACTTATAATGATAGAACACAGGAAACTGTAGCAGAATCCACCCAGATCCACTCCACATCAGCTAAGGGGCCTCAGCTTCCAGTCCGGGGCCAAAGAGGCCCTAATGTCTGTGATATCAGAATCTGTTTGTTTTTGAAGGGGTTCAGCAGAAACTTAGCCTCATTCGGGTCCAATTCTGGTTTCAAACTTGTTCCTGTCCATTCTAAAACCTCGGGTTCAGGATTCTGATGGAATGCTTAGTTACTCGAACATGCACAGTCCCCTCTTAGGTTCTGGTCATTTCCTGATTGCAGCAGGAAGCGGTCCGGTCCCCCGCTACACCATCCCGCTCCACTGTAACGACGTGTACTGGACCGGTCCATCCGGAGCTGGGAGCACAGCAGAACTGTTTTCTTCACGTTGGAGCCCAGCCGGACCACAGACAGGACGTCCAGCATGCAGATGGACTCTTCTAGAGTCAGGCAATGGCGATGAAGTGGGCGTGGAAACGCAGCGAGGCACCTGATGAGGAGGAGGAGGAGGAGTGAGGTGGAGCACCAACAGCTCAGACGGGACAAACAGGTTTTCAAACTCACCTGGATACACCAGAAAGTCTCCTCCAAACTTTCCTGCAGGTGTCAGGTAGAAGCCCCGCCCCCGCAGGTCTCTGAACACCTGGTACCTGGCCTCACGGCGGGGGCTGTCCGGCTCCCTGATTGGCCAATCCGCTTTCAGAAAAGCGCGAGACTCATGACAATGGCTAAGCCCCGCTCTGGCTGTGCTCAGCTGCACCACCAGCGCTGAGCGGGGCAAGGTGAAGTTCTGCTCAAGGGCCAGCAGACGGCGCTGCAGGGCCTCATCGGAGCCTCCTCCAGATTCAGAGCCTGAAGATCGGAACCAGGACAGTTAGAACAGACAAAAGAAGTAGAGTATTTTTCGCCACAGAAACACGTCAACCTGATGATGTCATGGCTCGAAGCAGCGCCGATTTCCTGTCCTCCAGAGCAAGGACGCTTTGCTCCTCGAAGCTTCTCTCCTGCTCCTCCTCATAGCGCTGCCGAAGCTCTGCAGCCGCTGCATCCTGTTAAAAAAAAAAAACCACACCTTTAGTGAAGCTCCGCCTTGCTGCATCTGGAGATGACTGATGAAAAACACTTTTATTAGTCATCGGAATGAATTTAATCACTTAATTAGTCTTAAAGGCTGATTTATACTCAGAAATCAGGTAGTCTCAGTGAATGTTAATATGCTCCCGCCCCTTCCACAGACACTCTGCTGTAGCTCTCCAAAATTGTAGGTGACCGCAGACAGCAGGACTCTGATTGGTCAAATCTACATCCAATATTACTCTACAAACAATATGCGTATTTCCTGTTCGGTACCTTACCGGCTTGTTTTGTCTGTATGACTGCCACGGTGGAAAACGACTCGTGAAGATGGACCAGCTAGAAAAGCGAGGTACTCAAGAACGCTGGGACACTTTCCCGCTCTTTTTCGCCCTCATGTCCCTCCATTGTCGCACAAACTTGCCCCCACTTCCTCACCGCCTCGGCTGTATCTAGACCCACAGCTAGTTCCTGATTGTCCCTCTTGCATTGTGGCGTGGAATAACATAGCGCAGACCATGCTTCAATATCGGGCATAAATCAAAAATATCTGCGACAAGCTCACTGCGACACACTGCTGCGGGAGGATAACCAACTCTTTATGCCTTTGGAAATGACTATGTAATGTAAATCCCTTTATTGTCCCACAATTGGGAAATTCACTCCCTGCATTTGAGCAGTATGGGGTTAAGGGTTTTGCTCAGGAGGCCAGAGTGGAGGCTGTGGCGATTGGTACTTTGCAACCTTCTCAGAGCACAATCACACCTCTCTGTAACCACTGGGCCAACAACTCCCTTGATGTATTACTAAAGTAATAAATGAGCGCATTAGATAGATGCACCTTTTATTTATTTATTTAATAGATACAAATGAATTACTAATGTAATACTCCTCCATGTCTCTGGGTGGCAGCATGTAGCCAACTACTGTGTTACTCCTAGGTATTGATTCACCAATGGAGTGATGGTGTTATATAATTTTTCACACTGTGTAAACAGATTCAAGGTCTAATACATAATTAGCAACATGCACACAGAACATAGGAGACATATTAAAATCTAGCACACAGAAACATTGGAAAGCAGAGGTCACCTACAAATCTTGGTAAAAACAAGATCTTAACTGGTGACCTGAACGAAGGATTTCGAACCAAGAGATTTTGGCAAAAAAATAAAAAAAATTTTTCCTCTTTATCGATTCCAATTAATTTCAGATGCAAAAAATGAAACAAGGACAGCATAGCTCTACACTAGGCTAGCGCTAGCTTAGCATTGCTATGGCTTCTCTCTCTCCCTCCCTTGACTCTTTTCCAACTCTTCCTTCTTCCTCTCATCTCTCCTGCTCTCTGTGTCAGATGTTCAGTTATTCCTCTGTCTCCTTTAGTGATAAGGGGATGTGTAATAAGTGTAGTATTTTTGTAGCTTTGGAGGCGAGGGTGTCAGAGTTAGAATCCAGGGCCGTTTCTCAATATGCGTTCTTGAGCGTTCTCGTGTGCTCGTGTATTCGTGACACGTCATCAGCCTCAGCCCGAGTACCGTTCCAATTCTCGAGAACGCCAGATCGAGAACGCATCAAATCCCCGGATGTTGTTCTCGCCCCGCCCTCTTTATCGAGCATGCATCAGAGCAGACTTGTGCGTTCTTCAGACTGACCGCTTCCCCAGAATGCCCCGCGGCCACTGCTAAATTCGAGACAGCGCTCACAGTGTTAAGTTAAACATTCGCTTTTCTGCTGCTGTTGTTCTTCAAAAGTACCTTTTAAAATCGTTTGAGGCGATAACATTATATATCTAAGCCTCCCTGTGTGGTCTGTTTACAGAGCTAGTGCTAAATTTAAAAAAAAAAGTCAGACATTTAGCGGACCAGAGTGACCAGCAGACCTCCGAGGGTAACCGCAGCCAGGGCTAATGTTACCCCGTCTGTAGTGCACTTCTTTGGTCTAGTAATGTGTGAACTACCGCTCGTTCTGATGGCGGTTTTTTGCGGTTCGGTAATTTTTTAAAATGTTTTTTAAGCTTTAGAAATTAAAAATATTGTTTTCAAAATGTTTTGTGTAGGGAATAAATAGTTTTGACTGTTAAAGAAATGCTAAAGAACGTTGCATGTGATGACGTCACGAGTACGCTTCTGTTCCAATACACATACGTGCTTGCGTGCTTGCGTTCTCGTCAAGTCCGATCTTCCTGCGTTCCCGCCAAGAACGGACTTGACGAGAACGCGAGTACGTACTCGCTACTGAGAAAACGGCCCAGGCTTCAGGCTGTTGAACATCCAGGAGTTAAAGTAGCCCCCCCACGTAGCTGTCCTCCAAAAGTGCCTGAGCAGCCAGGCGATTGGGTAACTGTACACAGAAAGCGTAGTCGTGGATCTCTGCCCACTGGTTACCACCAACCCGTTCACGTTTCTAACCGGTTTTCTCCACTCAGTGACACACCCACTGAGAAGCCCTCTCTGGTGATTGGCAGCTCCATAGTCAGAAACGTGGCATTAGAGACACCAGGGACCATAGTCAAATGTTTGCCGGGGGCCAGAACGGGCGACATCAAATCCTACCTGAAACTGCTGGCTAAGGATAAGGTTAAATACAGTAAGACTGTTATTCATGCAGGTGGTAATGACACCCAGTTTCAATGATCGGGGGTCACTAAAATGAGTATTGCTTCGGTGGGTAAATTTTCCCAAAAAATGTCGGACTCCGTAATTTTCTCTGGTCCCCTCCCTGATCTGACCAGTGATGATATGTTTAGCCGCATGTCGTCATTGTCTAGGTGGGGTCCTGAAAACAACGTGGGCTACATTAGTAATTGGCAATCCTTTTGGGGAAAGCCTGGTCTGATTCGGAGAGACGGCATCCATCCCACTTTGGATAGTGCAGCTTTTCCTTCTAGGAATATGGCCACATTTATTAGTCCTCCAAAAACCTGACCACCCAGGGTGCAGATCAGGAAGCAGAGTTGTAGTTAACACACATCTCTGCAGCTTCTCTACTGTTACCCTCTCTTTACTCCATCCAGACAGTAGCTATGTTTACATGGACACAACTAATCGGATTGAAGGCCTGATCAGATCAAAAATGTTTCATGTAAACATGTCAGACTGAAGATTCTAATCCGATTCGGTCCGATCGGATCTAAATTTAATTCCGAAAGAGAGAGGTGGTTTTTGCCGATCGCCATTCCGATTGGCGTCCATGTAAACACCCATTCGGATCTTAAGAGTAAAATAATCTTCACTGCGCATGTGTGCGACGTCAGCGTGACGTTTTTCCGCCTTGTCAACAACAGGAAACCACCGGTCGCTCTCGCTGTGAACAACATGGCGGGGGGAGTCTAGGAACGCCGACTTATACACTCAAGTTCATTTAAAGCTGCAGGAAGCAGGAATTTATCCTCCTCCTCTTCCTCTTTTCTCTCTCCACAGCCCACTCGCTCTCCCACGCCGGTTCAATCGCTCATTCTCTACATTTTCTCTCGTACATTTCGCTGCCAAGCGCTTTTTTCCTCCTCTCTCCTTTTTTCTTTCCGCTCGCTCCGAGCGCATCGTTTGTCAGGCCTCCCAAAAACCAGACGCAGACAGAACTGCCAAGTTTGGCAGGAAGTTCTGCGCATGCTTAAAAGATTTAATCTGATCCAACGCTTGGTACATGTATACACACGTCATGATCGGATCATTTCATTTAGTGTCCATGTAAACGGAGATTTTGAATTTCCGATCAACCAAGGTTTGGATCGGATCGGGGAAATTTTGCGCATGTAAACGTAGCTAGTGTCTTGCCCACGACCAAAATCTAATAAATTAGCAAATATTCCCAAATAAGTAAATCATGATAATCTAATTTAAATTAAAATAACTCCAATTCGGGAAAAAGTTAAAATGATTAAATGTGGTCTGTTTAACATAAGATCTCTTTCCTCTAAAAGTCTGCTAGTTAATTACTTGATTTGTGATAATCACATTGATTTATGTTGCCTGGCTGCAGCAAGAGGATTATGTGAGCATAAATGAGGCAACTCCTTCAAGCTATTCAAATTTTCACATACCCAGAAGTTCTGGGCGAGGAGGAGGAGTAGCAACAATCTTCCAGTCTGACTTACTGATTACTCCCAAAACAGTTAATACCTACAACTCTTTTGAACATTTGTTGCGCTGAGAGGTGTGGTTGTCCACCAGGTCCTTACTCTGAATTTTCAGATGAGTGTTTAGAGTTCCTTTCTGATTTGGTATTAAATACTGACAGGGTCATCAAAGATTTTAACATCCATGCTGACATTGAAGGCGATAGCTTAAGAGCAGCCTTTAGTGCTATCTTAGACACTATTTGGCTTTGTTCAAAATGTGAATAGTCCCACACATTCTCATCTTCATACTTTGGATCTTGTGCTGACATACGGCATAGAATCTGAAGAAATAACAGTATTTCCTCACAACCCTGTCCTTTCTGACAACTTTCTAATAACCAACAGGATTACTTTAACAGAGTTCTCCTCCCCCAAAAGAAGGTTCAATTTTAGTAGATCTTTATCAGATAGTGCAGTTATACAATTTAAAGAATCTGCTTCACTTTCTCTCTCCTCTGTGTCGCTGAGCAGTGCTGCAGAGTGCAAAAGCATAGCTTATTCCCCTTCACAGGTTGATGATTTTGTTGATGGGGTTGCTAGTTCTCTGCGTACTGCGTAGGACAACGCAGCTCCTTTGAAAATGAAAACCGTTAAAAATAGAAAGCTGGATCCTTGGTTTAATGTAGAGCTGTGCACTTTGAGGCAAAATGCTAGGAAACTGGAGAGAAAATATCACTCCACAGGCCTGCGGGAGTCCTTCCTAGTCCCTTTGGACCCTTTGTAAAGCAAGAGCAGCATACTCATTAATAGAGGAGAATAAGAATAATCATACACTGGAAAAACGATCTAGAAATATGTAAAAATGTCTTAAATTAAGTGTATTTACCCTTAATTTGATTAGGTAAATTAAATGATTTGCCAATGGAATGAATATTTGTACTCTTAAAATAAGATAATTACATAAAATGCACTTGAAATAAGACCACACAATTGTATTTTCTTAATTTAAATGTAAATTGTCTTGTTCTTTTGGCAAAATGTCATTTTACCTCCTCGATTCAAGAACAAATGCACTTATTTTAAGAAAAAATTACTTATCTAGATTTTGATTTTTTCCAGTGTAGATTTCTTTTTAATACACTTGCCAAACTCACCCAGAGCCATAGCTCTGTTGAACCGTCCATTCCACCTGCTCTTAGCAGCAATGATTTTATGGGATTCTTTATAAATAAAATGTATCTTATTAAAAATAAGATCATAAGCACTCCTCTATCCGCGATTGTATCTGAGGTAGTCATGGAATCTGAACCGGGTTTAGACTGCTTTGATCCAGTTGAACTTTCTGAATTAGCAAAATTATTGTCTTCATCTTAGCCTTCAACTTGTATGTTAGATCCAGTTCCAACCAGGTTATTTAAGGAGGTATTCCCTTTGATCTCCTACTCCATTTTAGATGTGATTTATCTATCTCTGTTACAGGGATATGTACCTAAAGCTTTTAAGGTTGCTGTAATTAAACCTCTGCTTAAGAAACCGTCTCTTGACCCAGATGACAATTTTAGACCTATATCCAATCTCCCTTTCTTATCTAAAATTCTTGAGAAAGTAGTTGCCAAACAAGTTTGCAATCACTTACACCATAATGAACTTTTTGAAGAGTTTCAGTCTGGTTTTAGAGCTCATCATAGCACTGAAACAGCTCTGGTGAAAGTCACTAATGATATTCTCATGGCCTCAGAAAATGGAGTTGTATCTGTGCTCGTCTTCCTAGAATTTCTAAAAATAGAATGGGAGGCAGATTTTTTAGTTATCAACTACCAGTTTTAGTCGTGAGGCAGACACCCTGTCTACTTTTAAGGCTAGGCTTAAAACTTTCCTTTTTGATAATGCTTATAGTTAGGGTGGCTCAGGTTATCCTGAGCTATCTCTATAGTTATGCTGCTATAGGTTTGGACTTTTGGAGGACATAGGGACCCCCATTTCATTCTGCTTCATTCTCTCTCTATTCTCCTATTCTGTAGAATCTGTTAGTTCAATCTCTAACGTTATGCTCTCTCTGCTTTTCCTCAGAGTAGCTTTGCCTCGTCTGTTCCTGTTTGGCTGTGACGCCATCCTGGAGAAATATCAGCTGTGCTGCTTCCATCAACACCCTTGTTTAAAGATGCTGGAGATCAGATTGTTTTCCAGTGTGGTCCTGTTTCTCTGACCGTGACTGACTGGATGTGCTCTCTTTGTTCTCTGGCATGGGAGCTGGCTCGGAGCTCGTATGCCTGGCTGTGTGTTTCCTGGACGGGGCCGCCTTTTAAAGCTTCTTTCTGTATCTCTGCTTCTGTTTCCTTGAACCCCAGTCGGTCTCAGCAGATGGCCGCTGACACTGAGCCTGGTTCTGCTGGAGGTTTCTTCCTGTTAAAAGGTAGTTTTTCCTCTCCACTGTCGCTACAAGCATGCTTAGTGTGAGGGATTGTATTTGAGTCAATGAGTCGATGCAATCAACTGGTTTTCCTTAGATAGAAAACTTTGAATCAATTTGACTGGATGATCTGGTTGAACTGTAAAGTGCCTTGAGATGACATGAATTTTGCGCTATAGAAATAAACTGAATTGAATTCACCTCATGGATTTGCATTGTGAATTGGTCTGAAAACATTCCAATTTCTCTAAATTAGTGAAAAGCTAATTTGATCATATCCCAAATTCTTCAATATAAACTTTGGTTTTTTTCAAAGACAAGATCCATCTGAAACTGTAATATGGTTTTCAACCATGTTTCCCCTTCCTCTTTGTACATAGTAGTTTAGTTTAGTTGAGTTTCACTAGTTTTAGTGAAGAGTTTTAAACTGAAATACTTTTGACTTGGTGCTGAATGATTTTTGTTAATAAACTCATATTTTGAACAGAAGTTGTGGTGAATTTATACCATGTATGTGCAGAATTAGCTGTTTGACCATGATTAGAGCTTGAATCCCTCTTTCATTTATTGTTTTAACACACAGCTAGTAGGGCGTGTGTTCATAAACAATATATAACAGCCCAATATAATATTTGACTAAATAAGATATTTACCATCCCTACCGGGGAGGGCAATGAATTCCCACCTGGCTGGGAATTGAATAGGACATAAAATCACAACATTAAAATAATTTTCATTTTTTATTTGCTATTTTGCAGAATTTGCTGCAGCCTCCACACCACACAGTGAGACAGCTGGTCAGAACACTCTCTATGGTGCTTCTGTAGAAGGTGGTGAGGATGGGTGGGAGCAGGTGGGCTCTCCTCATCCTCTGCAAGAAGGACAAGCAATTTTGTGCTTTTCTGACCAGTGAGGTGGTGTTCAAAGTCCAGGTGAGGGTGTCTGTGATGTGCACCCCTAAGAATTTGGTGCTGTTGACCACCTCTACAGCTGATCTGTTGATGACCAGTGGAGCGTGGTTAGGACGGTTCTTCCCGAAGTCCAAATCTCCTTTGGCTTTTCGAAGCTGCTCCATCTCCTCTCTGTAGTTCCGGTCGTTGTCGTCTCTGATGCGGCCCTCCATCGAGGCGTCGTCTGCAAACTTCACGATGTGATTGGTGGTGAACCTGGGGAAGCCAAACCCTACAGCTTCCGCTGTTCCTGCTGTCCTGCTCCTCTCCGATTTCCTCAGAGTTTGAGGAGAGAATGCATCATATTAGATTCAAAGCATCAAAACATGCGGAAATTAACAAGGGTTTCCGCGGATCATTAAAAATCATTAAATTATGGCCTTAATTGGCACTAAAATTAATTCGATTTTCGGAAAAGAAGCTCGAGGTGGGGAAAAAGCTAGAGAATATATATAGCTCCTTCATATTTCATGTACACTAATAACTTTGTACATGGTTCTTGTTGATTGCATTAAAATTATGTCTTCATAGCATTAAAAGAGCATTAAAATGCATTAAATTAGAGTCACTCATTCCCGTCTGAACCCTGTTAACGCTTAAAAATCCCCACCGTCATCCACCATATGTTCAGTTTCTGCCCAAATATTTTTTTTGTTGTAGATTTTTGTAACGGGGATATAGGATAATCCAAAACTGCTTTTCTTTAATGAACTATGTTTGCTCTCTGCTTCCAAACTCGGCATCTCTTCATCCATTCCTGCAATAAGTTTCTTTTGAAGTTTGAAATCTTAGAGGTTTTGAATGGATTTGATTAAACTTTTAAGCCTCTCGGTATAAAATAAATACTTTGAGGAGATGATAAATCTTCTTCCTGGTATGTTGAAATACCAATAGTCTGCATCCAATCATTTTATTAATTCATCTTAGTTTTTGGGAATGTATACAAATTTTGCTCTGATTTCTAGTTACCGATCTGTTGTTACTATATTTTCATTTGACGAACTGGAATTTCTCAATGTTGTTTATCCTGTTTGGTGCGATTGCAATTGCAGATCTTGACCTAGCCGGACAGGAGCGAAGCAAAAAATAGCTTGGATCCGTATTTTGACGGTGGTGGACGAAGTAGACGTACGTGGGCAGTGACGTACAGAGAGTAGCGGTGGATGGGGAACAGTTCTCATTGACTTACATGAAAGACAAGTACTCCGCACGATGTACGTCAGCGGAGGGAAGCGCTGACGGAGTATGTGGAATCTGGGGGGAAGTCAGTCATTTTCGGTAACATTGAGAGCTGGGAATCAGGAAGCAGCCCTGAGGGGAGCCTGTGATCTCACGTTTTTTTGGGATGTGTTGATGGGATGTGTGTTACCAAATATGCAGCTGTTCTCTGGTTATATTTGCGTATCTTCTTCCAACAACCACTGGTGATGCAACAACTGCTCCACGGTGGGGCGCTCTTTTGGGTCTAATGCCAGGCACTTGTTCAGAAATTCTCTGCATGTCTCGGGGAGACTTGTGTTGATCTTCAGCTCATTTGACAGGAATTTACTGGTAGAGAACAGATCTTCGTGCAGAATCGCATACAGCACCGAGCCCACCTGCCACACAGTTGTGGGTCCAGAACTGTAAAAATCTTGTGTTCTCCGTTCTGGTTGAAAATGGCCCCAAGTACCAGCTGAAATCTGGACGTTTCCTGTCTTGACAAAGCAACTTAGACCAAAGTCTATGAGATAAAGTTTTGGGACTTTTGACCTGGTCTCTATCAAGATGTTCGAAGGTTTAATGTCTCTGTGGAAGATTTTTGCTTCCTGAAGGTGAATTATTGCTTTTAGCAGCTGTTTTATCATGATCTTGGCGTTGTCCATCGTTATGCAACCCTTGTGGTTATGAATGTAGTTAAAAAGGTCCTCAGCAGGAATGGGTCTCTCCATAACTACAATCACCTCCTCACCCATATCATACCAGTCTAGCATGGACAGTATGGCTGACTGCCCCGGTGAGCTGGTTGTTTTAGCCCTCAGTTTTAACATGATAGCCACCTCCAAGGGCCTCAACTTTCCTTTCCTGTCCTTATGTATTCGCATGTGATGTCTTTTTGGGATGTGTTTAATGGCTACAGGCAATTCATCACACACCCGATAACCAGCAAAAACGGTTCCATAGCCTCCTTCTCCAAGCTTTCTTAGCTCAACATACTTTTCCCTAAATTTGGCTCTAAGGTAATCCCCTCTTTCCTCATTGTTATTCTCTGTCTTTAATCTCTTCTTATTCTGTGAGTCTTGAAAGTCCCCTGCCTTTCTTTTTAGACTCATTTTCTTTAAATCTGGTTTTTCTGTTGAGTTATCACCCAGACAGGAGCTGCTAGGTGCTGGGAGACATACAAGGGCGGTGGAAGTTGATTCTTTAGTCAATACCGGTTCTTGGAGTCTTCTCGTTTTAGCTGGGAGACGTCCTCCTTGTTCAAACAGTTTTCTCTTTTCGTTTCTCACCGTACTGAACTGGTCCTGGTAGCTTGTGGTAGGTCCATAACCCTCAGACACCATAAACCTCTTTCTGGGGGTTTCGTCTGTGGTGCTTTTTTTACGTTTCCTTGGACTTTCTGGTGTCATTCTGCTCTTCTCTAGATATCTCGTGAGGGCTAAAGTTTTAAAAATGTCTGCAGAATCTGTAGAACGTTGTCTTTCGTGTATTTTGTGCGATTATCGGTTTACCTTCAAGCCACAGCAGTTTGAACACTGTTAACTCGTGTTAAGCTGGTGTTCAACTGACTGGGTAAAGGTTCTAAACTGCTGACTGTACTGTGACATCACAGACTGTCTTTGAAGTCAAAGAGGCGTGACATCATCTAGAACATTCTAATTCTGACATAGGTAGGGTTGCCTAGCAACCACCCAATAGGGTTCCAATCCAATCTGCATTATTTAAATAGCACATTTAAAAATAAACAAAATGTTTCCAAAGTGTTGCACACACAACAATAACCGTTACCTCCACCCCTAGGTAAATATAAAACAATAAATGTAAATAAAACAGTTTAAAACAATAAATACAATAAAATAAATACAAAGCCACTGGGAACCACACAATTTAACACTAGAAGTGCCAGAGAAATTCAGTTTTCCTGCAAGCCCCCCTCCCCTCTTCAAGTTTCAGTATTCACTCTACCTTCTAACTGTCCTTGTTTAATGCAAATAACCTGTGATATGACCAGCCCTTCTACATGAGACTGGATAAAGGCTGAAACACACTGGTGTCAGAACAAGAGCATTTTTTTCCCCAGAACTTTTCATTACCTGCCCCTGCAACATCAGACCTTTTTGCAGGAATATATAGATAAGTCATATCTAAATCTTTTATTTAGGCAAACCTGTTGAAAAACCAGATATCATACGGGTATATTGCAAAGCTCACTATGCGAAAGAAAGAACAACTTAATAATTGTATTTTTTCTTGTCTCACCTTTTCATATCATTAAACATTTTAGCTTAGAAAATGACAAACAGTATTATTTCAGTATTGGAGTAAAGTTTATTTTACCCAAGGAAAAGCACTACATATTAGGGTTGGAAAGGTTCACAAAATCCACGGTTCAGTTCGGTTCACGGTTTCGTGTTCACGGTTTTCAGTTTGGTTCGGTATATGTTGATTGTTAGCCTGTCATGTTGGTCATGTTGCTGTAGCATAAACAAAACATGTTGCACTTTTATCCACAACTTTCTTTCCGCCGTCATCGTAGGTCACTCTAAATGCAAAGTGGTCCCATACAGCAGACCTATAAAGTGCTGCTGGCGCGTCTTCCAACTCCTGTTCTTTCCCACTCGCCATACCCACACAATTCTCCACAAAAACTGATAATTTTCCTGCTACACCCGGCTACACTGCTTCACTTCTTTTTGTTTACTAGTGGTGGTTGGCTTTGGTCGCAGTGCCGCCACCTTCTGCTCTGGAGTGTACACGCTTCGCCTATGAGAAAAAGGAGCTGTGCATGAACCGAACGCAACACACGCGAATCGAACCGAGACAGTCTAACCGAACAGTTCGGACGGTTTTGATAAACTGTTCCATCCCTACTACATATGAAGCTACAATTGTCCCATTTAGCAGTTTTTACAAACCCAAGGTGAATCCTTCCTGCATTTGTGACAGGTAAACTTTGTGCAGTGCACACAACGCTCAGTGCTGTTGTTCCTGTTGCACAGATTGCACACCTGGCCTGCTTATAATAACAATGAAAAAAATAGGGATGCACAATATAATCCGCCCCCTATCGGTATCGGCCTGTATCGGCCTTAAAACTGAATATCGGACATCGGCCACCCCACCAATTTTTTACGGACTTAAAAACTTCTAAAGACGAGGGAAAAAATATTGATACATTAAAATATCCCAATATCTTCATAAGCTGATATATTGCCATTTAAAAACACCATATCAATCTCTTTTACTAATAAAATATTGCTATATGTCATCGTTATGCTACGAAATACAATTATATGGCAAAATTCACGAAATTTTGCCATATTTTTATATGTTGATATATTGACGTGGTATCGATCTATTTTACTAACAAAATCTCACAAGAATTTGCAAAATATCACTGGAGTTTGTAACAGAACGATGAAATTTCACGAGATTTTGAAAGTAAAATAGATCGATACCGCGTTTTTAAAAATCAATTTGATATCAGCATATGAAAATATATTTGAGTATATTATTTTTCAAAGTGTCAGAAATGGATAACAAAACTGCTATTTTCAATGACTACTTATTTTTGTCCAGCTTTAACATCGGAATCGATATCGGTTATCTGCTACATGAGTTTTAAAATATCGGCATATCGGATATCGGCCAAAATCCCAATATTGTGCATCCCTAAAAAAAATCTAAAAAAAATAGGAGTTTAGCACATATTCTGAAAGTAAGAGTTGTCGTATGAACTGCTTGCTAGCAAGGGCAACAGACCCAACTCTTTTGCCAAATGCTGATGGTTAGTGAGTCAACCCGGGTTCGAAAAAACGATTTTAACCCACTTGATGGAACGCAGCTTAAATAAGCTGCCCAGCTCTGACGCAGTTAAAGACAAAGCTAGAGTTTCTCTCTCAGATATCAGATGTATTGATAACGAATGAGAAGACACGGGTGATGCTATATAATATGTCTCAAGATATTTGGGTCATGATACGATATTATCACGATACTGTAATATCACTATATATTGTGATATTTTCCCAGCTATCAGAATTAAATGTATAGATATAAAAGCAAGTCCTGCATATGTTCATCGGAAGATATTGATAATTTAATTACTATGGTATTCATTAGGGGCAGTGTTGGGTAAGTTACTTTAAAAATGTAATCCATTACAGTTACAGGTTACCTTGCATAAAATGTAATTGTAGTGTAACTTTTTCGATTACTTTTAAAAAGTAATGTAACTAATTACCTTTGATTACTTTTTGATTACTTTAACGTTTTAATGAGTATTGACCCATGTTCAACATTTAATTTTTGAGAACTGAATGTGAACCTTAAAAAAGCACTAAGCTGAGAGGGAACTGCTATCACAGGCAATCACAGGATGTCCACAAGAAGAGATGCCAGCACCAGGCATGGAAGATTTTCTCAGAATCCTCTCATAGGGGCATACTCCTTTCTGTTCCTCCCCCAGGCTCTACCATTTACGCAGTTTGCAGACTAACACAAGCAGGTTCAGGTTGATAGCCGGCAAACACTTCTTGCACTGCAGGGTTAAATTTGAGCCATTTTCACAGATGTAAATGAAATGCTCCTTAAATTTCCAGTGCTGGAAGGCTGTCATTTTTGATGCGCAGCTTGAGCTGAAATAGAACCGTCCGCTCGCTTGCTGTTCCTCAAGGAGGCTCCATCAGCACAGGATGGATCATCAGAGTGGCAAATAAGATAGAGACAAGGAGCCGTAGCGGGAAACGGCGATACAGGGCGCAAAGCAATAAAATATCATTACAGTAAACCCTTGTTTATCGCGGGGGTTACGTTCCGAAAAGAACCCGCGATAGGTGAAATCCGTGAAGTAGAAACCTTAATTTTTTAAAAAGTTATTATACAATGAAATACTCCATACAACATTGAAATCAAGGAACAAAAACTTTTTACAGGCCCAAGCATTTGTTAAACAAATAAAAGTACGGTATAAACGTTGTCTTTGTCTATTTTGTTTTTTGTTTTTCTTTACAAATAGCTACTGTACTTTACTGTAAAATAAATAGAATAAATAAGTAAGAAAATGAAAAATGATTATAAAAAAAATACAAAGTACAGTAGGACAAATAGTGACTGACGTGTACAGTACAGTACAGTATTTCACGGCTGTTTGACGGAGCCGCTGCATCCTGACTCTGCTCTGTGGCGGTAGTTGGCTAGGGCCCCGAGTTCCTGAGGGGCCCCCTAAAACTCCTTTTACATGTATGGTTAATACAGCTATTACTTATTTGTGCACATTAATTGTGGTTTTTATAAAAATCCTTTCGCTAAAATGCCATTAAAATGCTTATAATATGAAGTGTGTCTCGGGGCCCCCCCTACAGTGTCCACTACATTGGTTCAGTCCATTTGCTGAAAGGTCCAATCACACGGCAGCAAACTATTTTGAAAAACAAACGGCGCGAAGAGACGATACGAGCAGAGCGGAGGAGAAGAGAAAGGAAAGGAAAGGAAAGAAAGATGAAAAGAAGTTACCCTAGACTGACTTCCCCCCAGACGTACGTCGTGCGGAGCGCTTGTCTTTCATGTAAATCAATGAGAGCTGTTCCACATCCTCCGCACGTCTCCGTCCACGTACGTCTTTTCCATCTGTCACCGACAAAATACGGAGCCGAGCTATTTTTTGCTCCGCTCCGGTCCGGCCAGGTCAAGATCCGCAATTGCAATCGCACCAAACAGGAAAAAGAACATCGAGAAACTCCGGTTCTTCAAATTAAAATATAGTAGCAACAGATCGGTAACTAGAAATTATACAATAATTTTTCTACATTCCAAAAGAACTAACACCGTTTATTTAAATGATACGATGCAAACTATTGGTTATCCACCAACCAGGAAGCAGATTTCTCATCTCCATCAAAATATTTATTTTATACCGAGGGACTAAAAGTTTAATCGAATCCATTCAAAAGAAACTTCTTATTACAGGAATGGATGAAGAGATGCTGAGTTTGGAAGCAGAGAACAAACAAAGTTCATTCAAAAAAAGCAGTTTTGAATTATCCTAGTTATCCCCGTTACAAAAACCTACAAATATATATATATATTTTTTTGGGGGGCAGAAACTGAACATATGCTGAAAGCTGATGGGG